CTTGAAAGATTAGGAGAAATTCATGGGAAAAGTGGAAGAAGGCTTAAGCTGAGTCTTTGTGGTCATTTGTATGAGAATGACCCCCATAGGCTCATATATTTGAATGTTTAGTCATGGAGAGGGGCACTATTTGAGAAGGATTAGGATGTGTGGCTTTGATGGAGTAGATGTGGCCTTGTTGTAGAAGTGTGTCACTGGAGACTTCAAATACCCCCACCAGACCAAGTGTGTCCTGCTCTGTCTCTCTGCCTGTGGATCCTGAAGTAGCTCTCAGCTCTAGTACCATGTCTGCTGCCATCCTTTCCACCATCATGATAACAGACTAGACTTCTGAAACTGTAAGCAGGCCCTCAGTTAAATGCTTTCTCTTCTACTAGTTGCCTTGGTCATGTTTTTCTTCACAGCAATTAGAAAAGTGATGAAGGCAGTCTTAAAGGAACAAAAAGATTTGTAGAGACTGGAATGCTGAAGTGACAGGAAGGTCTCATGACCCAAGCAACAAATGAACAAGAACTAAGGGGAGAGGGGTGGTCAGGAGCAGCTAGAGGTTCAGCCCGAGGCAGTGAGCTGCAGCATGAGGAGATCCCTGTTCTGTGGACCTCAGTGAGACTGGTATCTTGATGCACTCTGAAGAAAAGGGTTTCAGGGTGCCTTAGTTACTTTTCTATTGCTTTGAAAAGACATCATGACCAAAAGCAACTTATAGACGGAAGAATTTATTTGAGACTTACGGTTTCAGAGGTTTAAGTCCATGACCATCATGGCAGAGAGCACGGCAGCAGGTCGGCAGGCATAGAGCTGGGATAGTAGCTGACATCTCATCCACAAGTATTAGGCTTAGAGAGAGAGGCGGGGTGGGGGCGGGACAAATGGCTTAGGCCCTCCCCAAGTGACACGCCTCTTCCAACAAGACCACACCTCCTAGTCCCTCCCAAACAGTTTCACTAACTAGGGATCAAATATTCAGATATGTGAACCTATGAAGGCCATTCTTATTAAAAATGGCCAAACAGGGTGAGTCCATGTGACACAGTGTTTGTTTGTTTGTTAAAATGATAGCACATACTGCAGATTTAAGCACCGCTGAGCAAGAGGTAAACCTGTATTAACACCTATAATCAAGAGCCAGGTGTGGTGTGCACACCTTTAATCCCAGTGCTTGGGAGTCAGAGGCAGGTGGAGCTCTGTGAGTGTGAGACCAGCCTGGTCTACAAAGTAAGTTCTAAGACAGCCAGGATGTTACACAGAGAAACCCTCAACAAAACAAAACAAAACAAAACAAAACAAAACAAAACTATAATCAAGATTAAATAAGGTTTAAAAATTAGATAAAGTGCCAGGCGTTGGTGGCACACACTTTTAATCTCAGCACCCGGGAGGTAGAGGCAGGCAGATCTCTGTGAGTTCAAGGCCAGCCTGGTCTCCAGAGAGAGTGCCAGGATAGGCTCCAAAGCTACACAGAGAAACCCTGTCTCAAAAAATCAAAAAAGAAAAAAAAATATTAGGTAAAGCTTAAAATTGGGTTAAGAATAAAAGCTGGCTTGTTTATTTCTCCTAAAGAATTTCCTCTTGTAAATGAAGCTGTGTGGCAGTTTACAGGGCACAATGTTCAGATACAGGGATGAGAGAGGAGTGCCAGCAAGGTTAAACTCACAGAGAGAGTAGGTTTTGGCTTTAGGCCTGACCATTTGCCATCTTAACAGTCTTGTTCAAGATATTTCTTGGAAAAGAGAGTATTGTTTTTATACAGTCTATCTTCACAGCAGTTTTGAATTTGTGAAATGTGTAGAGAATTATTGACTTTCACCAATAAGAAATGAAAAGCAGATCCCCGGAGGTGAGGAGTCCTTCCCATGGGTCCCTTAAATTTACCCATCTTTCCCTCCTGCTCAGGAATCTTGTACACCTATCCGTTCAGAGAACCCCTAAGGTGTGTTACATAAAAATCCAGGTTCTCTACCACAGGGTCTGACACATTCTCAGTTCTGCTGCTTGAGAGAAATAACCATGACAATGAAACTTACTAGGCACAGGGACTGCTCTGTGTGGGGGGGGCGGGGGGGGGGGGGGGGAACAAACACTCTCTAGCTCTTCTGGGAGCAGCAGGGCTGTGATTGTCAAGTTAGTGTCTGTCTGTTCCCAAACGCATTCGCACTTCTGAGAACATTCAACATCACACTTAACTCTTTCTGGCTTAAAACCCTAGCTGGTCCTCTCATTAGCTAAATGGCTGTGCAGAAGTCTTATTAACCCTTTAATTTTTCATCCTCCCCGGAAAATGATCAGAGTGTCAGGCCATGTCACCTACCTCTCAGGAAGGCTGTGGTAATTAAATGGGATTGTTCATAGAGGACAAAAATTGCTCTGTGAAGGTCCAGAAATCGGAAACTGCTCTCTTAGTGGAGGCAACCCTTCATCCAAGCATCACATAGGGATCTAGGGATGGAAGTGGATTTAATCTTTTTACTCCTTCACCCAAGTGTCTTTGTACAGGGCTTAAGCTGCATACCTGCACAGCAGAGGACTTGGCACAATGCTTAGTATAACAAAAACTCACCCAACACTACCCAGCATTATGATTATTAAGGGACAAGCCACTCCAAAAGCAACAGTGCTGAAGTAATGTAGGAGACTCCATGGTTATATCTGTTATGAAAGGAGACCAATATTTACATACATATCTCCATCCTGGAAGAGTTCAAAATACATAATTGGGAAGCAAACTGAACAGAAATCTATGCTCATGTGCTCATCTCCCATTAGATAGTGTTGGCTGCATTGTGGGCAAAGCATGAGCTATAGTGAACGGTGACAGACCTTACTTCCTTTAAAATCTTCTACTTCTGATGATGCCATAGCCGCATGATAGCTATCTCCCCGAGGCTTCTGTCAGCTCTTTGTTGTAGTGACTGTGTCATCTCTCTCACAGAGAGTGAATTTTGGTCAGTATTCTGAAGCTCAACCTGTGGACGGCTATGGGTCCATAACCTGTGTTTAAAAACTCTCTAACTTCCCAACACTTAGAATTTGAAAACAAAATACCATCAATAATTCATTTACGAAATAACTTTCATTTTTATTGTCATGCTCATTGATAACTGAGTAGAGGAGAGGTGGGATGTAACCATTTAATTATGCAATTATAAAAAATAAGATGATTTTCAGATGCCTAGATACCTAGATTCAGGCTACAGAATGGGATCCTGCCCCGCAAAAGTCCTAATGGTATATTTTTGTATCTTCATCTGATTTTGATGTTCTGACTTCTAAAATATTTATGATGTTCTCTACATGATAGACAAGTTCCTAAATATTCTTTAAAAATTGTGTGTGTGTGTTTGTGTGTGTGTGTGTGTGTGTGTGTGTGGTGGTGGTGGTGGTGGTGGTGGTGATGGTGGTGGGCAGAGGTCAACACTGGGTGCCTTCTTCTATGGATGTCTGCCTTATTTGTTTTAAAGACAGCATCTTTCACTAATCTTAAAGCTCATTGGCTGGCCTGCAAGATTCAAGATCTGCCTGTCTCCACACCCTTCCTCCTCCTTCACAGCACCAAGATTGCAGATATCCATCACCCAGCTAGCTTTTGTATAGGCACTGGAGCTCAGAAATCAGGTCTCCATGCATCATGGCAGGCACTGTACTGACTAAGCCATCTCTCCAACCCTTAGTGTTCTTTGATTTGAACTTGTACAAATTAAACTATGAGAACTTGTCTTTGTGCCTGACACATGGCATTTAATAAATGCATGCTTAGTAGATAAGTGGACAGCTTGTATCCAAGCAGGGGATGCATCTTGTTTAGGTGTCCAGAAGTGATGTGAGGACTGTGAAAGAAACCACAGAAAATCTTGCTTAAGGAAGTATTAGCCTCTGATTCAAAGTATGATTCATATAGAAGAATAAGACGGAGTAGAGAACACATAATTATTTTAGCAAAATCTCAAACTGTAAAATAGGGGGTACTTGAAAGGTAGAACTTCAAACAACATTCTAGGTCCTAAAATTAAAGAGAAATCAATCTCCAAACCCAACAAGCGCCCAAGCATTTCAAGTGAAAGAGAGACTCCAGCCAAGGAAAACAAGGGCCAGGATGCTTTGCTCTGATGTTCTTAGGGGCTGATGTCAGGAGGTGGAGACCCTTCTTTCTTCTCTGAACAGTGCCTCTTTATTTTTTATTATTTCTTATTATTTTTATGAGCTTTTTTTCAGAAGACATGTTAGTGTTATGTGCTAATTTCTTGCTCAAAATTTTTAGTAGAAGCTATCCTTCCTCACTACTTCAACATATATAGTGTATATACACACACACACACACACACACACACACACACACACACACTTTCAGCATCCATAAGGCTGAGACACTACATACAGAGAGAAGTTAAGGAAACTCACCTGAAATCCTTAGACCAGATAAGAGCTCTGAGAAGCAACTGAGTCAAAATTAGTATATAAAGAAGGTTGACTTTCATTATTGAAGTCCATGGTTTCAAGTAGATTCGAGAAAGTAGATTACTCACAAAGTAATAAAAATTACACAATACTAATGAATAAATATTCAAGGAATGTTCACTATTTCATTAAGGAATTATTATTATTAAATAAAAATTTAAATAAATCGAGACATGTATTTTTCTTGGGGGAGAAGTCAATATTTTACACATGTCAATTTTTTCCCAGATGAATCTATTCCTGGTGTATTTTCAGTTGCAATTTCATTTTTATTACTGGAAGCAATTCTGAAAATCATGTGTAAGAAACAACATGTGACATAAAGAATTTTGAGATAAAAATAAAGGCCCGCTCTCGAAAATGTCACATCATTCTCTGCTGCTGCAGTGATTAAAATACTGTGGTACAAGCGAAGGGAATAGACAGGCAAATGAATGTGTTAGCATTCTTCAGTGGGATATAATTAACTGAAGAAAGAAATCAAATAACCATGCATTTGAGTTGTATACATTTCTCCTCTTATAGATTCACTGTTGTAGACTAATGGATCTGAAAAGTAAACTGTTTATTCTTGTTAGATGTTGATGAAGCAAATTTATTCACACCAGAGAGATAATTCCTTCCCCTTTCCCTAAAGAACAATTTGGGAATCACTAGTATAGACCTATAACAGATAAAAGAATTAATATATAATACAGCTAAACTAGCACTCGTGCTGTCTGACCTGAGTTTCAACCTTATTGTTGCTTTTATTTTTCAAAGATTTCCAGCTAGATGACCCCACGGGGCTTCAGTTGGTAGTTCTAACCCAGTGGTTACACTGATTTCCCTGGGTAAACTAAATATGTTCCCCAAGGCATTGTTCCCCATGGACCATTCTTTTGACAGTGTTCTGACACTGGATCATATGGATTTTTATTTTTGATTTTTTGAGAAATTTTATTAAAATGTACACTTCTGCATTTGAGTTTGTGATGCTGCTTGTCAGTGAAATGACCAGAATGACGTCAGCAGTACGGGTTCTTCCACAGATGTAAGATGTCAGCACTCCTGGAGGAGTTTGGTGCTACAACATTTGACTCAGTGTCAGTTCTTTGGTTTTCAGCCTGAAAAAAACAAGGCCATTATCCAAGCACTTGGGAGCAAGCTGGAAACTGATGACTTCCTTTCTTGCATCTCTCCTTTGTTCTGAATGGAGATATACACAGGTATTGCTTACTGTCAGCACAATGTAGGATAACCAACATAGAGTAGCCCTCCCCTACAGTTCTTTCAGAAGACAGAGGTTAGTTTGCAGTTCTTACATGGATTTATAACGATGAGCTACTCTAGTGGGAGCATGATGAATGGCTCTGAGAGACAGTTCATGGATTATGTGTAATGATCACAAGAGATATATTTCATTTCATGATGACAAGCGTGCGGACCTCACACTTGTTTTCAGGGACACAGAGTACCTGCGGTAAAGCAAGGCATTCAGGGCCAGCAGGTGCCTTAAACATGAATACAGGGATTCTCCACCACTCCTTTGGAATTCCCATTCAATACCACTCGAACCCCCCTATCCCCTAAATAGATAAGGTTGAGTGCAAGGGCAGTCTCTAACAGCCCGTCTCAGCCATTCTAACCTCAGATTCTCCATGTCCTTTGCTATAATTATCATCTTGAACCAGGACATGCATGTGTTCCTAAATATAGAGCGAAGGGAGGTGTCCCTGGATGTCATTCCCATTGCGTGCACCTTCAGCAGAATGGTGCTACTAAAGATCCTTTGCTGTCCAGTCGTTCCTCTCCTGAAACTCACCACCCACTAGCAAAGTGAAGGTGTGCTAAAAAAAAGAAAGAAAGAAAAAGAAAAGTATTTACTATCTTACAATTTCACCGGCACAGTGTTTGAAATCTGAGACTCATTCCATTTCCACTTTGAGAAAATGCCACTTTAGAACAAGCCAAATGTGGATGTAATTATTAATACCGTGAGAAGATCACTCTTTACTCAAAGTGTGTTATTACTTATGTGTAAGGATGGTTGACTACTCAAAGGATAGGCCTGATAAAGGTGGTGAGTGACGTGGTCACATTATTTTTACTGTTTCCATAATACAGGTGAGTACATTGAGTATCGCTATATTTTGTTCCTTGAGAAAGGGTCTTAGTCTGTAGCCCCAGCTGGCCCTGAGCAAATGATCCCTCTGCCTTTGCCTCCCCAGGCATCTGCCACTATACACACCTCAAAATATTAAAGCAAATCCCAGGTGTCAGCAACCATGAGGGAAAACAATCCTTATTTGTAAGTCTGTTATTCAGTATTCGCCTAACCACAAAGTCTCTCACTTTTGTCCTTTTTGTGAGCCACTTTAAGCACTGTGTTAAACATGATTTGAAGCACACATGACAGCACAAAATGATTTAAGAGCAAACACTTAAATGCACATCACTGCAATGCACTGAACCAAGTTTGAAAGTGTTGTGTTCACATTTTTCCATAAGCTCCACTAAACTCCGAAGATTTATTTGAAGTTTTAATGTGGACATTAAAGCATAGTTTTATGAAAATTGGAGTATTGAGCATCTCTTGTGCCTTTTCTAACAACATTTATGGAAAAGTTCCAGCAGGTTGATAATTTAGAAAACATGCATACCTCTTTATCCCCCAGCCTTTACTCTTTTGGTGTTCAGGTAGCAGTTATATAAATGTGAATTGCTTTTCAAAGCTTTGCCCCACGGATGACAGAAGCACTTCTTATTTATCATTGCCTAAGAGGAGGCAGGAGGACCTCTCTTTTCATACCTGTGTTTTCCTGGAGTGTAAGAACAATGGCAGATTGACTGCAGGATTCATATTTACTCACTGACCCCAAAGACAAAGAGATGAAAAGAAAAAAATTAAGTCTAGCATGCAGAGGCTCTCAGAATCCTACAGTAGAAAAAGCTGGAAAAGCAATGCCCATGAATCCAACTTGGAGCTGTGCAATGAGGAATAAGCTCCAGAAGCCAGGAGGCCAGAGATCCTTGAGCAGGGTTGTGTCATTGGGAGAAGGGAGAGGGACAGACAGAAGCCAGATGGCTTTCTGAATGTTGACAGTGGCCTGGGTAACACAAAGATAGCACTGTCAAAATAAACTCAAGGCAGGTTGTTCCCATCAGGAAACTGGTAAGACGGCAGATTTTATTGGTTCTAATGTTTCCTTTCAACTGATTTAGTGATCCTTTAAGGAAATGGCCCCTTAAACTAAAATCCCCCCCTTTTTTGCTTGCTTTACATTTGCTACAATTTATTTGTTTGTTTGTTTGTTCCATGTACTTGCTTGTTGACCTGTGTATTTTGTATCAGAATGGATACAGCTGAGAGCTCTGTCTGTATCTATGGGACACAGTGGCAGTTACTAAGAGCAAGTCACAGTGAAGACAGTAAATTGGTGTAAGATGATCTTGTCCAATGTCTTTCGATTTGGGTCTCACAGTTGAAGAATAAAAAGAAAAGTCAGCACTGGAACTTGCCTGGAGGATGAGGATCTGCTGACACACAATTTACCTCTTGAATTCGTCCCACAGTATGTTTTGGCTTGTGCGGGTGGAAGGTCTTGTTCCTTCATCAAGAAGCCTCCCTGCAGCTGAGTTGGCAGCTCATGTTTTCTATAAACTCTCTGAACCAATCAGAACACAGTTAATCTTATTATTCTTCCATGGGCTTGCGTTTCTTTTGATGGGAGTCAGCAGAAGTCATGGGTAATTCTTTCCCGTGTGCCAGGGAACACTTGTGTTTCTGCTGCACAAGGTCAGATCTTAATTTAAACACCGACTGGATGCTTAATTTTAGTTACACTGAGGAACACATTAGCTCCAAGGCACTTCCTCTGGTTTAGGAAAGCAAGGCCCTGGATAAGAATAACAAGACGATCATTCCAAAAGGTGAGATTATGAAATATTTGATCTGTACCTTGCCAGCTCGATTATGGAGTATCAACATTGAAAATATTTGGAGCAGAGGGACACACAGGGCGTGGTGGAAACTCATCCTTTGAAATCTGACTGATCACCTATGGGCTCACCTACCTAATTATAACATAAAACAGGGACTGATTCATTGATTCATAGAACATCAACTCAGTAATTATTGTATATTACAGAGCTGTATCATGCGAAAAACAGATAAAGTAGGAATATACTAACAAGGAACACCCACGTGAATAATGTAGAAACTATCCTTTAAGATGTAAAAGAAAAAAAGCAGAACTCAGTAGATCTGGACATTTCCTCCTGCAGATAATACCAGAGAATGGTGAGGCTGCCAGCCCTTCAAATGCAATAGCTGCCAATGCTCAGGGGTCTTAACTGAAGAATTTCTGGGGGAATTGTCTACATAGAAAATGGCTTTATTTCCATAAAATACCTATTACTGTCTCATAGTGGGAGCATTAAAAACATCATAATTTTATACTTTGTTTTTATAAGAATATCTAATAATTTCAAATGAAAATGTGCCTGATTTTTTTCTTAACCTGGAGTGAATCAGTTTGTGAATTGTCAAATTGAGAATTGTGAAAGAATTCCTTTACAAAACTTTTATGAAGCTTATGAGTTTTTAGGGTGCGAGATGAGACGTGCACTTCATGAATCCCTTCGGCTGTAGTGAACCAGCTAAGCCCGTGTGGTCTGTTAGAGATGACCAGACTTACACCCACATCTCCACCATCCCTTTGGTAGGTGAGCATGAGCAGATTGCCTGACCAGCTCGACTTTGGTTTCACCTATAAAACTGGAGAAGTGTGCTGTGAACACCAAATACTCAACCCACTCAATGCATACAGCAAGGAGACCTCACCTCAGTGCACAATTACTATGGTGATGATTACTCAAAATACATGTAGTGGTGAATAACTAATGCGTAGTCCATGAGGTTAGGATAACTTTTAATGGGTAAATGCTAACCACCAGGAAGTCAGTGCCGAAGCAGCAAGGAAAAAAGAGCTCCCATGTGTCTTGTCTGTCCCTTTAAACCTCTCACACGTCACTCTGACATCACCTTGACCACACCCTAACGGGCGTGGTTGAGCACACCTGTAGCCAGCCCTTAGGAGGCATGGTTCCGGTGTCTCCCTACACATAACTTCTTGAGGAGCTGCTCTTTGTAGCCTCAGAGCCAACATTGAAGAAGAGGAAAGAGAATGGGGATGGTGTCTACCATGCATTGCTTTCCAAAGGTTTTATTTATTTTAGCAAGTTTTCATTGCATTTATTTGTGTGTGTGTGTGTGTGTGTGTGTGTGTGTGTGTGTACACATGGGAGCATGTGCACACCATGACACATGTGCAGTTCAGAAGAGAACTTTTAGGACTGGATTCTCTCCTTCTACCACGTGGAAACCACGGATTGATCTCAGATCATTTGGACTTGTGAGCAACTTTACCAACTAACCTATTTTGATAGCCCAAGTTTATTATTTTTTTATTTGCACATGCACATGTGTGTGTGTGGCTACATGTATACATGTGCATCTGGAGGCCTGAGGTCACAACTGGATATCTCCTGAGGTCACTATCCACTTTATATTTTGATACAGGGTCTTTAGCTGAACCTGAACAATGAGCTCTAGGAGTCCACCTGCCTCCAGTTCCTTAGTGCTAAGGTTACAGACATGAGGGACCATGCTGGGGATTTTGTTTGTGTTTGGTTTTGTTTTTATATGGGTGCTAGGTATTCTAACTCAGGTCTTCATACTTGTGTTCAATAGGCACTTTACTGGTTGAGCCATCCATCCCTCAGCACCTAAAACAGTATTTAAAAGCAGGAAACTCTAACGATGTTGATACTGTATGGGTGAGTGGGGTCTGGATAGCCCTGAGTCTGAAACACAGCTGACATTGAATATGTATTTTTGAATGTTGGACGAATAGCCTGAATCCTCTTAGAAAGATTACTGCTAGGAACTCGGGGGCCTTGGTGTCTTTGTCCATCAGTAGAGAAATGCATCTATCTCTCAACATACTCTGCATCTATCTCTCAACAAGGTATTGGACATGAGTATCAAAAAAGAGACATGAGTACTAGATGGTAGTGTCTTTAAGAGGATTTGTAAGTGGATAAACAGCTTTTCTCAAGGGTGCTAAGTAGCAAACCCATGCCAGCCTGCAGGCCTCTGTCCTATGCTAATTTCTGTTCCACATTTGTCCTTGTCAACAGAGCACAAGAACATAAAAGATGTGCTTATTATATCTGCAAGCAGAAGAGTAGTTGGGAGGGTAGAGATGCATTCAGTCTTAGCAGATGGGGGATACAGGTCATACTTTAACAAGAGGAAAGAGCAGGAATAAGCAAAGAGGTACATGGAGCATGACTCAGCAAATAATGTGAAAAATACAGCTCGTAGAACTTGGGGCAAGAGAGGTTCAAATCCATTGTGTGACACAGATAGCCTCCATGCTTCTCTGGTCTGGTCTAAGTTAACAGATGTGTAATGTATAGGCAGAGAGAGGTGAGTAGGCCCACTTGGTGGTGTGCTCTTCTGCACACCTGTTGGGCTACACTTTTAGAGTGTCTTTTAGAAATCGATGGCTAAGTGAGTGTGTTCACAAGAAAGCTGTGATGTCCAATCCTGTCACAGTGAGAGACACTGTGCAGCCTTGGAAAGAGAGGCTCAGGGGAGTCCTGACAGCCTTCCAGGAGGTATTTGAAAGGCTCCAGAGCAGCCGCAGTTTCTCAGCACAGTTCTGAAATGCAGAACTGAGCCTATTGAGTTTGGGTTTCAGGGTAGGCATAGGAGTTTGATGCTCCTCCAAACCCATAAACCTAGTCAAGGCATCAAGAGGTCATGTGGAGATATGGAAGCTCGATACCACTGTACTTAAGCTGAAGTTAGCTAGACATGCATTGGGCATATTGGAAATGGGACTTTTGGTGGGCTACCTGCTGAGTTTCAACTCTACTGTCGCTGGTCCCATAGAAAAGGAAGGAGATAAAAATATCAGAGATACTAGAGGACCTGTCCATGGTTGAATCAAAATTGCTCAAACATGATAGGTACCTACTTCCTCATTCCAGAGAAGTTCAGCCATCCAATAACAGGCAGTGTTTACTGACTTCCAGGCAGCTGATGTGGTTAGGCCAGGACTGGAGGGAGAGGTTCAGCCTCCAGCAGGAGAAAATTAATGACTTGTACATAGTTTTAAAACAAGCTATTAAGTTATGCAACAATTTGGTATTGCTTGAGTGAGTATGGAATAGACCTGAGTACTGCATTCGAATTTTTTTTGTTGTTTTTTGAGTCAGGGTTTCTCTGTGGCTTTGAAGGCTGTCTTGGAACTAGTTCTTGTAGACCGGGCTGGTCTCAAACTCACAGAGATCCGCCTGCCTCTGCCTCCCAAGTGCTGGGAATAAAGGCATACACCACCACTGCCCAGCTGCACTGGAATTTTTATACCCAGCAAAATGAACCATGGCTAGGAACAAATATTTTAAGAGGATGTGTATATATCCATGTATGTATATATGTATGCGTGTATACATATATGTATAAGAATACTATGAGGTTTGGAAGTGGCTCAGTGTATACAGTCCTTATCACACAATCATGTGAACTAGAGTTCAGATTCCCAGCACCCACATAAGATAAAGGTGGCTGTGGAGGCCACCTATTATCTAGCCCTCTAGAGGCAAAACAGGGCAAGCTAGCTAGCTAAACTAGCTAAAGCATTCAACTTCAGGTTCAGCAAGAGATTGCCTCAGTAAGTAAAATAGGAGATTACCAAAGAAAACACTCTAGCCTTCACACACATACACACCCCTACACACACACACACACACACACACACACACACACACACACACGCGGGGGCCACATGCATGCACATAATACTCTTTAAGAAGTGTTTACTGTTATTATAACTCATTTATACACCTACCTTTCCCAACTCTGTAAGGTGAAGGTGCTTTTGAAAGTATTTAAAACTGCATCATCTCCTTTGGGAGCTACCTTTCACGATCAAAATATAAAAATTTCTCCTCATGGAGTCCATGTTTTGAGATCTTCCAGTATCTTTCCTCTGGTGTTTTATTCATTTTATATAATGTAAAACTCAACTGCTTCATCCTACTTGTCACTGATAACATCATACCCATCTTCTTAGCACAGTACAACATTCCACAGTAAATATACAGCAAGTTTTCTTTATCCATTCACCTGGATATTTACCTTGATTGCACCTTTGTTTATTGTGAATAATGCCACAGTAGGCATGAGAATGCAGACCTCAGTTCTTCTCCACATTCCTAGGAAAAGACCAGATCATTTATCTCTATTTTGAATTTTTTGTGGGATCCCTCCCCATACTGTTTGTATGATGGTTGTTCCAAAAATAAATTAAAAGTAGCTATGTAAGATGGGGTTTTCAAATCAGCTATATTGTGGTGATCATTGAATTCTCAAGTTATGTACCTGTGGTGTTTTGATGAGTGTTTTGGATGTTGAAGCATGGATGGGAGTTCACAAGGGTCCATTGTAAGAAGACTCATAGATACTTTAAGAATGAATTTAGCCAGGCGGTGGTGGTGTGTGCCTTTAGTACCAGCACTCGGGAGGCAGAGGCAGGCGGATCTCTGTGAGTTCAAGACCAGCCTGGTCTACAAGAGCTAGTTCCAGGACAGCCTCCTGTTAGGATAAATCTTTCCACCAAAAGCCGCCGAGCCCCACTGCTATATGTGCACTTTACGCCAGCCGCCTGCCCGAGTTAGAGCCCAAATTAATACACAGAAACTTGTATTAGGTTCAAATGCTGCTTGGCCAGTGACTAGGATTCTCATCTGCTAGCTCAGGCTTAATTATCATAAATCTATATATTTTATAAGACTTATCTTATAGAGGATGCCTTTCTCTAGCGCCCTCTCTTGCCGGTGGCTCACATCCCGCCACTGGAGGAGGTGAAGGGGGAAAAGGGACACTTCCTGTTTCTCCTTGCTTCAATATGAGTCTCCTTGCTATGTCACTTCCTGCCTGGATCACCACTTCTCTATTACATTTCCCAGAATCCTCTTTGACGCCTAGTCCTGTATAACTTGCTATTTCATTGGCCAAACAGAACTTTATTCAACAATCAATGAGATAAACATACACAGAAGTACTTTCCCCATCAGCCTCCAAAGCCACAGAGAAACCCTGTCTCAACCCCCTCCCCCACAAAAAAAGAAAAAAATGGAGCCACTTTCCCTACTCCCAGGGCATTTTAATTTTTCTCAATATTTATACGTTAGCCGGTTGATTACCATCTGCTCAGAACAACTTGAATGAGGCTTCCAAGAATACAATGCCATGCGCAAATTCTCAATTCATCAGGTATCACAGTTTTCCGGGTTTCCTAAACCAAGTTTTGCATAGGCTTTTATATCCTTGGAGAACTCTCAGACAAGGTTCACATAGGGGAACAAAAGGTATCTGCTCAACAGATAGATGCTAGGCCAGGTGTGGCCCAATTGGGGTTAGGACTAGTTGCTACCACTCTGGCGCCAGGCCAGCAGGATTCTGCTACAGATGAGATGTTTCCCATATTCTCAGGTATTGGAATACTTGGTCCAGACTTTGTGGCACTGTTTGGGTATGATTAGGAGGTACAGCCTTGTTGGAGGAAGTGTGTTACTGGGGACTGGCTTTGAAAATTTAAAGCCTAACACCATTTCAAGTTTGTCCCTACTTACTGTCTATGGCTTGAGATATGAATTCTCAGTTGTTCTTGCTACCAGGTCTAATACCTGCTGCTACACTTCCCTGCTGTGATGATAATGGATTCTTATGCCTCTGGAACCATAAGCCCAAATAAACCCCTTTCCTTTTATAAGTAACCTTGGTCACAGTGTTTAATTGAAACAGTAGAAAAGTAGTACAGTGCCCTAAGTGTATGCATTTCTAAGGTCGTCTTGTTTCCCTTTATCTAGTAAAACTGAAGCACTAAAAGTCAATCTCATTCTATAAAAGCGTCTGCTTGTATTTGGTTAAATGATTATCACTCTTGAGTATGACACTAAGGATTCTTCTCATATTAATTTTGATAACTGTAATGTATTCATTTTATCATTGGCCATTTGAGTTGTTTCAAAGGTTTTAGCTGTTTAAATTCAGATATACATTCTCACATACCAATCTTTTCCTACATCTGATCATTTTTATAAGATAGATGCCTAGATGGAGAGTTATGAAGAAAGGAATTTTTTTTTAACTGATCACTTTCGCTTGTAACAGGAGGCCGTTCATCCCTTAGTCGTCTTAGTGCAGAGCTCTTCCCTTTCTGGTAACCTTGTTTTCCTCCGGAAGTCCTTGTGTGTAGGAACAGAGAGCATCTTCCTACACTCTGAGTCATTTCCTAAAGCTAGCATGCTTCTTCCTGCCTTTCTGTCGTAAATGAATTTGACTTAGAAATTAATAGTGGAGAGATAAATGCCAACATTTGCAATGTGAAGCTGGAGATGAACAAAGCTGGTGTTACAGGTCCTATTGATAAAGAATCCACATGGAAATCAAATATTAATTGGTGCAGTCCCAAAACCGGAACTGAATTTGGCAAAAAACAAAAAGTATGTATGACACAAAGAAAAACAAGATAGCCGGGCAGTGGTGGCTCACGCCTTTAATCCCAGCACTCGGGAGTCAGAGGCAGGCAGATCTCTGTGAGTTTGAGACCAGCCTGGTCTACAAGAGCTAGTTCCAGGACAGCCTCCAAAGCCACAGAGAAACCCTGTCTTGAAAAACTAAAAAAAAAAAAGAAAAGAAAAAGAAAAGAAAACAAGATAAACCCACTTCCAATCTCATCTTAAGATGAGATTGAGTATTGTTTGAGTATTCATTCATGCAGCCAGTTCTTACTAAATTCTAACCACATATCAGCTGTCACACTAGGATTCATTGTCTCATCTGCCTTTTTATTTCTTTTTCCAAAATATCAAGTTATGTATCTTGTCTAAGGATTCTTCTCATATTAATTTTGGTAACTGTAATGTATTCATTTTATCATTGGCCATTTGAGTTGTTTCAAAGGTTTTAGCTGTTTAAATTCAGATATACATTCTCACATACCAGAAAATGTGAAAATGGTATTTGTTTTCTGACTAAGGTCTCTCTGTGTGTGTGTGTGTGTGTGTGTGTGTGTGTGTGTGTGTGTGTGTGTGTGAAATGTGCCAAAAGGACACATTGCGCCATTAAGAAAGACACTATTTGAATGTATCTAGTTCTTCCCATCACTCATAGGCTTTCTTTTATAGAAAAAGCAAATGCCTGAAGAAAGAATTGTTACACTGTGCAACTTGTAAATAAGGGTCACATGACTGTGAGGGTGAGCCCAGTTCTGACAGGTGTACCTCTCTCTGACAGGTGTACCCTTCAGGGCTACTGAACTCTGCTACTCAAATCAGCAATGAAAACTATGTATCCAGTTTGCTCCTTAGTACTAAAGGGCACTGAGTGAAGGGACTCTAACCAGCCCTAGCATGGTAAACATGACTCTGGCAGGCCTAGCCTTTTTCCCCCATTCCCTCTGCCTTGCTAAAAACTGTTAGATTACCTTTTCAAAGCTAGTAACCAAGGTCCATTCCCTTACTTGGCCATTTCCTCCTCCTGAGACTGACTACCAAGGTCTAGCTATCAAAGTATTGAAGTCCAGCAATCAGAAACCCCTTTGGTCACCTAATTAACATGCCCAATCAAAATTAAACACCTCATACTAACATGGAATTTCCCCGTTTATGTTATAAACTGCCATTTGCCTATGGGCCACACCTGTCTCCTCTCTATCCAGATGTGGTCCTTTGTCCCTCTGGAACAAATATCCCTTCTCCCTCATCCTCTGTCTTCTGCCTTTGTCTCTTATTCCCTGTCCTCTGTCCCTCTTTGGGCTAAGATTTGGGGAGTCCTGAGTTGACACTGATCCTTTCACTGAGAAAAATAAGTGTGTATGACCACCAATAAGCACCAATGTCATAAAAATATTCTATTTACAAAAGTAGCTGTTTAAAAAAATTACAAATGCAAATGGCAGAGTGCAGGTAAAATGAACATCATTTAATATAACTTTTCTTAACAAAACCAAAAATTGGAACTATTGCTACTTAACTCTTGCCTTTCTTCTGGTAGGGTAAATACCCACGCTCCTCTCTGGGATGCCAGGAGACCAGCTCACCAATTGGGAATCACAACCCTTTCAAGGTAAAAGAGAAATCCCTCTGTGACTAGGTTCAGCATTCCACACAACAGAATCCCGCACTTCCTTTGGAAAGCTGGGGTCTGAGTGTACGGTAGGTTTGCATAAAGAAGAGAACCTAATTTTTCACAGTTATCCTTGTCTTAGTCTATTGTCACCTCCCACTGTATTTTAGCCTGTCACCTTCCGCCATCTTGCCATACATGCTATTCCTGAAACTCTTTCTAGAAATCCTGGCTCTGCAGTGGGGACCAGTATGGTGCCATAGGAATTCTGCTTTTTTATTTGTTTGTGTTTGTTTTTGAAATGATCTCTGCTATGTAGTTAGTTCAGGCTGACCTTTGGCTCTCCTGCCTCTCAGTGGCTCATATGCTACCTGGGATTAGAAGACTGTACCCTAATGCCCAGATGCTACTGGCATTTTTCAAAAGGATACTGAAAAAGAGGATGATGTGCCCTACAGGACAGTCTCCCACTAATGTGACAGAATGATATTGACAGGTGCTGAGGGCAGTATGATATTTATAGACTGTGGAAACAACTGGCCACTCAGCAGATTCCCACACCACCCTTGTTATTGACTGATAGAAAGGGTTTTGTTTTGTTATGCACTGGACACAGTCATGGCAGATGGGGCAACAGACTTGGATGTAATCAGGAGTGAGCCTACAAAATAATTCATGAAAAATATGACTGTTTTTAATCCTCATTATGGGGGGAAAGAAAGCAGTGATTTCATGGCACAGGACCTAGCACACTCCAAGGAATGCTCTGATGGGTGTCACGAACCTACCAACCACCTTGACAGTAAGGCATCAGTGCAGCTGCAGGACGGGAGGCACCATGCCCTGGCACTCTCCACTGAATTGTGCCTGGCAACACCATCCCAACCTCCTGACCACTTCAGTCAGGCACCAGCTGGCATGCTGATCCTTTTTTTTTTCTGGACAGTGATGTTTAGACTCCAAAACAAAAAGAACGGAATGAAGACAAGCTTGGGAAACCTCAGACCACTCTTTGCAACACAAAACGTCCCTGCACAGAGCCAAAGGAAGGGATTTATGTGCCTTTGGGAGCTAGTATTTATTTTTGGAAGTTATTGTCACCAAGCGCTGACTGTCAAGAACAGGATCAAAGTGTTTTCTATCAGACACAACAGACTGCAGCTTCTGAAGGCCTTGAAGAAAATGTTCTCCTTGCCTTACTCAGGCTGCTATCAGCTGTGAGAGCTTAAGTGGATTAAGGCTCAACTTCCACTCTTCTGCAATGATCCATAATTGCTTACAATATACAAATGAGAATAAGGATTGAAAAACAAGCTTGTATGCAAAGTGCTTTTTTATAATTTATTAATTTTTATTTTATGTGTATTCCTGTTTGCCCACATTTATATCTGTGTGAGGGTATCGGATAACCTTGAACTAGAGCTGCTTGTGTGAATGCTGGGAATTGAACCCTGGTCTTCTGGAAGAGCAGCCAGTTCTCTTAACTGCTGAGCCATCTCTCCAGCCCCATGCAAGGTTCCTGAGACAAACCCAGCCCTCCATGACTTATGGCTTTTGGTACTCTACATCTAAACTTGGAATTCAACTCAGTCCATCTATAAAACAAATTAATAGCCATTTAAATCTTAACTAAGCATTTGAGACTTAGCATTTAGAAACCTGGAATTTAGCTGTTTCTTTTTTTAACTATCTAAAACTTTAAAAAGCTTCAGCGTATTCATGAGTTTTAACTTTACATTCAAAGTTGCATGTCCCTTCAGAGAGAGTCCATAATTTGTCACTAAATGTGTGTCGCTCTTAGCAAGGTTAACCAGCGCTGTAAATGAAATCAGTTTGCATAAAAGTTCCTTAATATTTGGCTGGGAAACTGATCAGTAGGTTAGTGCCTGCTGAGCAAGTGTGAGGACCTGAATTCAGATTCCCAGCACCCATATAAAACACCAAGCATGCTGGTGAACATCTGTAACCTCAGCGCTGAGAAAGAGGGAGACGTCTGGATCTTGAGAGCTCACTGGCCAGCCAGTCTGTGTGAAAAGGGGAGCCCTAGGTTTAGTGAGAGGGTCTGCTGAGCCATCTCTCCAGCCCCATGCAAGGTTCTTGAGACAAATCCAGCCCTCCATGATTTATGGCTTATGGTACTCTACATCTAAACTTGGAATTCAACTCAGTCCATCTATAAAACAAATTAATAGACATTTGAATCTTAACTAAATATTTGGGGCTTATGTGAGAGCCATAGAAGAAGCAACCAACTTTGATTTCTGGCCTACACACACACACACACACACACACACACACACACACACACACACACAACACACACATACACTCTCTCCCTCCAGCTCTCTCTCTCACATACACTTTCACACACATATATATATTCACATTCACTCTCTCACACACATACACACTCTCACACACACTCTCACTCACACTCACATGCACTCCCTATCTCTCACACATACACACACACACACACTCACACACACTCACACTCACACAGATACACTGACACACACTCTCTCATACACACTCTCACATGCATACACTCACACACTCTCTCACACAATCACTCTCTCTCACACACAAACAGTACACTCACACACTCTTTCTCTCACACACATACTCTCACACTCTCACACACACTCACGTATACATATACTCACACACACTCTCTCTCACACACATACACTCACACACACACTCACACACACTTGAGGGGGGGTAGCTTCAGTCATTTTCTATGACAGCTACTAATGAAGAGCAGGTGCAGCCACTATCAGCTTTCCCAGAACAATATTAAGTGCGCTATGGCACATTGTTCTTAAGAAAGGACCAAGTGATTTCTCTAGACTAGACAGAGAAGTGAGACACTTGAAGCCAAAATGCTATCTGGCCTTTCTTCATACCCTTGAGAAGCTCTTTCTTTAATAATTTCTAATTGATCTGTCATCCTCACCATCCCAAGTTTTCAATACAGGTCAATCACTCTCTACCTGCTTTCTCTTTGTTCCTTAATACCTCCAGGCTATCCCAATGCACCCCTTCAGGGACACTCTGACACCTGACTGCACCTATACAGAACTGTCACCTAAACTGTCAGTTCTTCTGGAGACAGCTCGTAGTTTCCCCATAACTTCACCAGGTTTTTATTATAGCTATGAAACAGCTAAGAATACCGGCAACATCTTCCACCACCACCACCCTTTTCTTCTGTTTTATTTTTTCTAGACAAGGTTTCTCTGTGTAACCCTGGCTAGCCTAGAACTGGCTCTGTAGACCAAGCCAGCCTCGAACTCACAAAGATCCTCCTGCCTCTGCCTCCAGAGTACTAAGCCTGGCTGATAACATCCCTCTTTGATGATAGTTAAAAGACTATTGAAGAATGTTGGGAAGCCATTTCCCAGACCAACTCCAGCCTTGCTCCAAATGGTTTTGACAACCTGGGCTCTATGGAGCATGTAGTGTTTCATGCACTGGCTGTCCAGGTTTCAGTCAGGGTTAGACTTAAATTGAGTGTTTGAACAAGCGAGAGGCTCTCCATCCCATAATAATCCGGTAACCACACAAGCTCAGTCTCTGAGCAGTTACATCAGCCAGAAAGGCAGTAAGGCTTAACGGAGTCATCCAATTGTGTTATCTGAAGAACTTGGTGCACACTTGTTGGAAATGAGTCACCAACTTCTGTCCCCACTCAGAAGTCACTTGCCACTTAGAAGAGCAAATAAATTAGGAGTGGGAATAACGAAGAAAATTCTGTAAAAGAGAAACCGTGGCCTAGGGTGTGGTTCAGTGCTAGCCTAACATGTGTGACACCCTGGGTTGCCAGCACTGCCAGATGGAAATGAGCTTGTTCTCTCTCTCTCTTGGGAAAGCAATAGTCCAGTGAGAACGAAAACACAAATGTGTGAAGAACTTTCAAAGCAGATATGGAACACATACAAAATTCAAGTGACACGCAAATGTTACATAAGAAGAAATATTCACAGAAAGAGGTCAAGAGAGGAAGTGGAGAATTCCAGCAAGAGCTGCTTTAAGAGGCAGCTTCCTGTGCCAGGCTTGAGGCAGTGGGTGAAGAGCCGCTGGAAGAGCCTTGTGAAGAAAGAAACAGATGTAAAAAAAACACAGACCAGAGGAAAACGAAGCCAGATATGGAGTCAGCCGTCAATTTGTTCAGTTGGGAAAAACAAAACAAAAAAACTGCATTCCTGAGAGACATGGTCATTTGTAAGAATAAGAATAACGAACAGCTCTGTACCATTTGAATCGATTTGGCAAGGAAGATCCCAGATATGCACACTGACTTACGAGGTGACAACTATGCCAGTGTTAGGCAGTATGCTCTTTCCGGCATGGGACAGTCTTTCCGCCTTGTAGCATTGTGGTTTGTCCCTCTGTTCTAAAACAGTCATAAGGCTCCTTATATAAAACAATGTGTTGGTGTTGTTTTAGTTGTTTTGAGATGAGGTCTCGTTACTGCAGCGCAGGCTGGCCTGAAATTTAAGAGCCTCCCCTGAGTGCTGGGACCTGGCAAGGTTCTGTATAGAAAAATGAAGAACAAAATCCTCAGGATGCCAGAGTTTCTGTGCAATCTGTCCAGAGGCTGGGGACCTAGACTGTCAGCTTATCTAAAGCTGTCTGTCAAGATTATGTGACCTTGATTGAGAAGACACACATCGGATGTCAGCTGTGTCTGGAAATTGCTTGCAGACTTTGTTTCTGTTTCTCCCCTCAAAAAGGCCCAGTGCCGTGTCAAATGTCAGAAGGAATGCACTGGGCTAGGGGACAGTGCTAAGTAATGATAAAGTCATGATGCTTAGTCACACCACTGTCAGACTATTTTCAGCTTCTATACTTACTCAACATCCTGCCTATAACCAAAAGAGCTGACTTAACATTAAAGATGGAAATTTACTCTTCTAATTTGATAGTTTTAAAAAAAATAAGCCAGTGAGCCTTCTGTGTTTTCGTTTCTATCTACATAGTATCCTTAGGGGAGACAAACTAGTCAGAAGCAGTGGCTTGTGATAAGTGGACAGAAATGATCAGGGGACTTCAAGGAGCCTCTACAAACCTTAAATGTGCAGATGCTCTGAGAGCTGCACACCTGACAGCTCAGGACGGTAGAGATTATGGAAGGATCACTGTTGACTGACCCATTCTCCAGTTGAGTTCTAAGGTTCTAATGTGCTGTGTAAAATGATGGGCCTGAGTCAGTATCCATAGAAACTTGATAAAAGACAAGGAGCCCTTCTGTAGACAATGCTGGAAAGTCAAAGTTCAAAGACCCAGGCATTCAAGGGGCAGGTAATTAAAGGTTTCAACAGAACATCTGAACCTAATAAGATAGAGTTTTCATATAGATGGATTAAGATCTTAATTTGTTTGTATGTGTGTACCAAGGAGAGGCAAATTTTGCATTTTCATTTTGCATTTGCTACATTAATTATACCTATTGCTCTGAACCCCTTGTTGAGAATAAGAAAACCACCTCTTTCAACATTATTTGCAGATATGGATATTCATGACGACCCTAGTGAAGACCATCTTACAAGTCATGACATTCAGCTCTGTATCCAGGAGTCCATTGAAGCAAGCCAGGCTGTAGTCCACCCTGAAAGGTAGCATGCTAACCGACTACCCTCAACAGATGGCAGTCGTTTTTTCTGGGAGACTCACTCTTCCTCTACAAAAATGCTTACTTCCCCCCAATACACACATACTCTTTTTATGGTATGAAGTCTAACGACTTTAAAATGTCAACTTTGCACATGTTTTAATGGTCTGATCTACAAATATGCATCTCATGAAGAAAATGGAAATTTCCCAAGTGGGAAATTCCTTAGTTGAATTTCTTTGGAGATTGCCTATATTATAAATTAATGTGGAGTTAAGAAGGACAATGAGTAGAGTTTGAACAAATTGGTAAGAACAATGTAAAATAAGCACAAGTTTGTAGCACATCCTGCCACTTTCTCAGCTAACTTTGTGAGTAGACACATTAAAACACACAAGAGGCTTAGAGAGATGGCTCAGAGGTTAAGAGCACCGACTGCTCTTCCAGAGGTCCTGAGTTCAATTCCCAGCAACCACATGGTGGCTCACAACCATCCGTTATGAGATCTGGTGCCCTCTTCTGGTGTGCAGATATACATGGAAGCAGAATGTTGTATACATAATAAATAAGTAAAATCTTTAAAACACACAAACACACACAAGAAATTGATGCTACAAACATAGTAACAATAGAATCTTAAACTGCAAAAAAAAAAAAAAAAATAGTACCTGTAAAGGTAAATAGACCATTAGCTTTACACTCCATTTTCGTGCTTAGAATTTTATAGTCTGGAACTTAGTAATGCTTGTCTGCGTATACTCGCTGCTATGAAATTGTTGCTTTTGAGCTGTGTGTGCAGTGCACTTTGTGTGTGTGTGTGTGTGTGTGTGTGTGTGTGTGTACGAGAGTGCACTCCAGTTCATGCTCTCATATGAGCACAGGTGCACACACTTCTGAGGAGGTCAGAGGTCAGTATTGAGTAGCTTTCTCTTGCTTTTCTGTTTAAAAGAGGATCTCTCAGTGAATCTGGAATTCAACTAGCCTGCCTATCTGGGAAAGCCCCAGGCATCCCTTGTCTCCACCCCTACTGCTAGGATGACAGGTGTGTGCTGGGGATCTGAACTAAGGGCCTTAACCTCTGCAGGAAGCACTTGACCAGCTATTCAGTTCTCCAACTCTTCTGCTCTTGAAATTTTCAAAGTGAACTTGTAAGACTCTGATTTCTTTTCAGATTGTAGAAATATTTCAACTTTTAAAAGTGTGCACGTTACATAAAATTTCTGACTTTTTTCATAGGACTGAAACCTCTGAGAGAATCGAGAACCTCGGAGCTCCTCACAGGCATTCACAACCCAACAATGTTAGCAGATGTTTCTGCCCGACCTTTGTTATGAAGGGCGCGTTTCCATTTAAGAAGCACCTGTGCCCAATAATTGCCATGTGAGCTAACTCCTGACTGGACTGCTGGGCCACAGACTGGGAGTATATTCAGTAAATGTTCTACCTGCTGATCAATTGATTAAATAATTCTACCATGCATGTGGACCATAAACTCCCAAGTGTCTCTCAGCAGTTACTAAGAGCCAAGTGCCATTTAGTGAGCACATAGTTTTGAAAGTTGGAGGAGTCTTAGCAATCGCCCTATTTAACCCCACCCAGATGAAGACACTAACACACAGAAAGGCTAATGGAGTTTCCCGGGCTATGAAGTCAGGCCTGCACCCAAACCCTTGACTCTGACTTCAGTCATTTATTCTATTTCGATTGTTTAGCCAGATCTTCCCAACCCTCTTAATCATGTATTTTGCTCTCTTCGCTGCTATACTCTCTGTCTAACTCCTGGGAAATTTTAAAGTGGAGAAAATCAGCTATATGATTGATTTGCTTACAAATTTTGACTATTACAGATATTTGCAAAAACTCAAGTATATTGTTCAGAACCTTAAAAGTACATCACCAATACAAATATGGCTCGACTGTTTTTTGTTTTTTTTTTTTCTCTCTCTCTGCTAGACTGGTGACTCTAAGTGATCAAAACCGAAAGCTTGTAGAGGCCATAAGGCAAGGTGAGTGGGCCTGTACCTACAATGAGATGGCACTGAAAGTTTACCTTTCAGTGTGTAACTAGTCCACGCATTTCCTGTAGGTCACATATTTGAGCTCCAGGAGTGTGTGCAACATAAATATGCTCTGGATGAAGCTGATGAGAAAGGGTGGTTCCCATTACACGAAGCTGTTGTTCAGCCCATCCAACAGATACTCGAGACTGTTCTGGACGGTAAGAAATTATGACAATCTTTGCGGAAAAACCAGAGAAAAGGGGAGTTCCAAACCATCCATCTTTTGCATCCGTTCACCTAGGAATGTAGTACAGGATGGTGGAAAGGCAGTGTTGCCACCTGTAGTTGATAAAAGTGTTTCATAGGTCACAAATCAGTTGACTAAAATAGAAAGTTGTTTTCCTTTGAAAAGCGAATCTTAAGGGCTGGAGAGATGGATCAGCAGTTAAGAGCACTTGCTACTCTTTCAGAGGATATGAGCGTGGTTCCCAGCACCCACATCAGGCAGCACACAACCACCTGTAACTCCAGTTCTAGGGGATCCAACATTCTCTTGTGACCTGAGCAGGCACCTACACATGTGGCACACACTCGCATGTATTAATGTGCATACAAAGACATGCAGATTAATTAAACAAAAATTAAGAGATTTCTAAGAGTTAATTTAAAATTTTTCTTCTTCAACTATTCTTGATTTAGTTTCCAAAAATATATGTATCATGATATATATATATATATATATATATATATATATATAATATAGTATGTATATATATTATGTATATATATGTATGTATATATAATAGTTATCTTTATATTGCATTAATCTTTTCATAATGTAATCATCACTATGATAAATCAACACATTATGTTTGAAGTGGTTTTCACATCTCAACATTTTATAGAACATATATGAATATATTACCATTTAAGCTTCAGTGTTGCTTTCTAATTTTGTACTTTGAGAGATGAGAAATATTTGATAATTATCTAGCCAGTTAGAGAATTAGATGACCAGACTAACAGATCTAGATGGTATTGATGATATTTCTTCTGTAATGCAATGAGATGTCTATTCAAATGTATTTCTCATTTACATTCATTTGACAAAACAAATCTCATGTGCAATTTGCATATTTAATAGGATTGGAGAGTCAATTTCCAATGTATTCAGAAATGAGAATTAGTAACCTATTTTAAGGAAAAACTTGAAGCGTAGGTGTTGGTTTCCTAACTATCAACTGGGTTAGCAAGTCTATGTGTGTCTGCTACTCCTTGCTGTATTTTGTAATCTTTTTATTGTATATTCTCTTATCCTTCCATTTATCATTAATTACTTTCCTTGATATTATGTGTATAATATTAGGTAAGCTTCTGATTTAAATAAAAATCACGTAAGCAGATATGTTTCTTAACTTTTCAACAAAATGCTTTCTCATCTCAGCATCCTATAAGACAGTCTGGGAATTCAAGACCTGTGATGGAGAAACACCCTTGACTCTGGCAGTTAAAGCTGACCTGGTGGGAAATGTCAAGACGTTGCTAGAAAAGGGGGTCTGGCCCAACACCAAAAATGACAAAGGAGAGACGCCCCTTCTGATAGGTAAATGATTTTTTTCTAGAATGTTTATCATTTGAAACAAATATAAGCATTTAGCAAGTGTTTATTGGAAGTCACTGTACCCTGGCTATAATTTGCTACCTGGATGTCTTCCCTTGTCCAACGTTTCCAAGCTCCCAGCCCTGTGTCACCTGCCCATGGATCTTATTATCCTGTCACGAGATGACCACATAGCTTAACTCTCAGATATAGAATATACATAACCAGGAGGAACCTAAATTAGTTCAGTGATGAGGTCTCAAGTCTCAAGTGAGCCTGTAATAACGGACTTCACATCCTCACATATGATGGCTGCCTAGGAAAAGAGGAGTCATATTAAAGCAATACCATCCAAGTAGAGTGAAACTGAAAAGGGGGGGAGCTGTGTGCAAGATGCTGCCAGAAGAACAAGGTAGAACGCTGATGATAAACAGAGGAATATCAGTTTCACATCAGAGCAGTCAAACAAGACTGAAGGAAAGAACAGACTCTGTGGGAGGCACTGAGCCCGCCCTGTGAGGGCTTACAGCAGTGACGTTGCACAGGATGCTAATCAAAACTTGCTGTCCATCAGTTTCTCAGGCTTTTGTCCTCTGCTAATCACTGAACAAACACAGAAGAAGAAAGGTTAGACCAGCTGTATATGTATGGCCCAAGATGGCATTGCCTTTACTGGGAGACACAGGGATGGAATAAGAATTTGGGGTTTGGTATCTGAGATCTGCGGACTTAACATCTTGGCTGTGAGACTGTAATAACAGACTTCAGATCCTCACATATGATGGTTGCCTAGGAAAAGAGGAGTCATATTAAAGCCAGATGCTTTGCTGGGCATTCTGGACATAAAGATATTGATTAAGTAAGAGAACTAGATAAACTTAAAAGGAAATTAATATAAATGTTACAATGAAGGTGCATACATAAAGTAAGGCAATAAGAAAGTCATTGCATCCACAGGGACTTAATTCCCTGACCTGTCTTTAGTAACGTAGATACATCAACCATCATCAATAGGTTTTTTGTTGTTTTTTTGTTTGTTTTTTTGTTTGTTTGTTTTTTGAGACAGGGTTTCTCTGTGGCTTTGAAGACTGTCCTGGAACTCCCTCTTGTATACCAGGCTGGTCTCGAACTCACAGAGATCCACCTGCCTCTGCCTCCGGAGTGCTGGGACTAAAGGTGTGCGCCACCACAGCCGGGCATCAATAGCACTTTTAAGTTTCCCAAGAAAGTGCATCATCCATGTCAGTTTATCAGTTTTGCTTTTGGGCTACTTTGAAATGTGCTACTCATGGGCTCATGAACTTGCAAAGGAGAGCTAAGAGGGGAATGTTCCTTGTTCCATGGAATTCCGTTTTTAATATTTGCTCAGATGGCAAAAATAAAATTGCCATAGATTTAGCCAGGGCCCCTCCTCCCACTCAGCCATCTCTCTGACTTGCAAGGCTTTATGCTTCACAGTCATGTCACGGTTCCTTGATGCGTGGGACGTGCCAGATTTGCTGTGATCTGACACTTGTTAGGTTTTTCCTGCTCTTGGATGGACTCTCTGCTGGATAGTCATGCTTACCCTGGCCTGGGTGGAGAAGAAGCTGTCTCCTGTGGGGTCTCAGATCTACTGGCCTCCTTTCTCCATGACTCTCCTCATTCACACAGAGCTTTATGTCACCTCTTTCTCAGTGTGTGAGTTCCTGTCTCTCAAAACACACCCTCCCCGGCGGTTTCCTCTGTTGCTTTTCCAGTCTGTCCCCAGATGTCTCAGAGCTCCCTTCTCTGTGATGTTGTGAGTCAGAAAAATCACTCAGAGCTACTATGTAAATTACGTGAATGAAATTCGTGTATTCAGAAAAAGGAAGAAAATGACAAATTAGAAATAAAAATGGAATGTCAGAAAACCACAAATTTTGATGGGCATTGGTGGCACAAGACTTTAATCCCAGCACTTGGGAGGCAGAGGCAGGCGGATCTCTGTGAGTTCGAGGCCAGCCTGGTCTACAGAGTGAGTGCCAGGATAGGCTCCAACGCTACTCAGAGAAACCCTGTCTAGAGAAAAAAACAAAACAAAGCAAAAAAGAAAACCACAAATTCCCAAGGAACTCTTACATAATACTAAACAATTCTAAGTAAAGCATACATAAAAGACTAAGCATAAAACTGTATATATAAGTTCATATTTACTATCAACTATATTAAACTAATAATGTGCCTTTCAGATTTAATTACTTCAATTGGTTATTAGTTTAGACCAGTGGTTCTCAACCTTCCTAATGCTGTAACCCTTTAATACAGTTCCCCATGTTTCGGTGACGTCAAAGCATAAAATTATTTCATTGCTACTTCATAACTGTAATTTTACTACTATTATTAATTGTAATGTAAATATCTGATATGCCGGATATCTAATATGTAATCCCTAAAGGGGTCATGACCCACAGGTTGAGAACCACTGGGTTAGATAGTCTTTATGAGTTATCTGTGAAAGATGACTCCCCACTACTGACATCATTATTTCTATGGAAAATGCATTCTTCCAAAGTATTAAATAAGAAGTGGAAATTTTAAGGAACTACTTTAAGTTGAAGGTTCCTTGCATACACTGCTGTTTTCATAAAGAAGTTAATCTTGCTCCTAGCATGTCTCATGAGTGAAGCAGAAGGACAGCATTCTAAATGGAAGAGCCTCATTATTGCGAGATTCTCAGCCCTCCCCACCAAAAACATTTAAAAACCGAAAACAGTAGCACTAAGATAAAATCAGGCTCAATCCTCTCTGTAATGACACCAGCTAGGTTGACTTAATATGCCACAGTTAGAACCACAGTGGCAAACGGACACTTACCAACACATGATGGAGGAGGAGGAGAGGGATTTTACCTTCCCCATCTGAGGCAGGGTCCAGTTCTTCATCTGTTGATTGTCTGAAGTACAATCTGCCGACAAATACTGTCTTTGGTGGGGAAAATAATATGTGTTTATATGATAAACAAGCCTGATAAATATTATATATGGAGAACTGGAGCCCTAGACACAATACTAAGAATCATTTATTGTGTTCATGTTTTATACTGGGTACTATAACTAAATGATTAACATACATTATTTAATTTGTACAACCCTATAGTATGTTGTTCCCATTTCTTGGAAAAGAGGTGGAGGTTTGGAGCACAAAAACAATTCTATCTTGATGATGAACATTTTTCATGAAATTCTTACCCCACTCTTTTTTTTTAATTTATTTATTAGTCCTACTTAGGGAGCAAGCTTGTTTCACATGTAAGTCCCTTCTCCCTCTCTCTCCCCTTACCCCCATCCCTCCTCCACCACCCCCAGCCTACCACCCTACCCCATCCATCCACCACTCCCCAGGCAGGGTAGGGCCCTCAACCGGGGGCTCTGCCGAGTCCACCAAATCTTCCTGTGCTTTAACCCACTCTTTTTCTTGAAGACTTAAACCTCACAAATAGACATTTGGGCATGAGAAAGAGAAAGCATGTAAGAAATGTAAGATCCTTTTATAGAAGAAATAGAATAGTTTGTACCGATTTTGATATTAGTTTAATTCCATATAAAGTACTCACGTGAATATGGCAACTTCGTGTTAATATTCCTGTTCTTTTTTAAAACTTATTCCAAGCTATAAAAAGGGGCTCCTATGACATGGTATCTGCACTGATTAAATACAACACCAGCCTTGACCAACCCTGTATCAAGCGATGGTCAGCAATGCATGAAGCAGCCAAGCAAGGCCGAAAAGATATTATCGCCCTACTACTGAGCCATGGCGGCAACGTGCACCTGAGAGATGGCTTTGGAGTCACACCTTTAGGAGTCGCTGCTGAGTATGGTCACTTTGATGTGTTAGAACATCTGATCCACAAAGGTATATGAAATGAGTTATTCTATCCTGATTGCAGACTCTCCCCTTCATTGTCCATGGGATCTCTCTCCTAAATTTAATTGCGTGAGGCTTTAAATCCTATCTCCACATTAAACCCCCAAGCCACCACTGAAGCCCTGTTAACTGTGACCTGAAGAGATCTGTATGACAAGCCCTAAATTGTTACAATAAATCTTTCTGCCAAAAGACGCAGCCCCACTGCCACGTGTAAACTTTATGCCAGCTGCCTGCCTGAGTTAGGGCCCAAATGAATACACACAAACTTGTATTAGGTACAAAGCTGCTTGGCCAATGACTAGGATTCTCATCTGTTAGTTTAGTCTTAACTATCATAAACCTTTATATTTTATAAAACTTGCTTTCTTGGACCCCTTATTGGTGTGCCTCCTTGCCGGTGGATCACATTGTGCCGCTGGAGGAGGAAGCGGAAAAGGGGCCCTTCCTGTTTCTCCTTCACTTAAATATGAGTCTCCTTGCTATGTCACTTCCTGCCTGGATCACCACTTCTCTACTACATTTCCCAGAATCCTCTTTGACTTCTAGTCCAGTCTAACTTGCTGTCTCATTGGCCAAACAGTATTTTATTTAACAATCAATAAGATAAACATACATAGTACATTTCCCATCACTAAATGCTTTTTCCAGACAGCCAATTTCAATATAGATTGGTGGCAAAGGTTTTCCTGTCATCTTTGCTGAATTCCTCCTCTTTTTTTCCCACTTGTAGATGTCACAGTCTCTCTTAACTGGGACTGAAAGGTTAGATCTACCAGTAAATATCTATCACTTTCTTTCCCAAACTCAGTTGGTTGCAAAATATCAAAGTTTCTCTTGTCTTCATGTTGCCTGTCATCTTGGCTATGCCCTTCCCATCTTCCTCAGGCCATGTAAGCATTTGCTAACAATTCTCCAGGTTTCCTTTTTTGCCTGTCAAAGAATCCATACTATGTACTACAACTCAGTTCCTCTCCCTCAAGTACAACCTCAATAATATATTCTATTCAAAACACCACTGTAATTGCATTACTTAGAATTGTTGGTTTTTTTCTTTTCAGGCTTACATTTCACTATTCCAATCCTGTGTGCCCCACTCCAGTAAAATAGAATATGAGTATTCTCTCTGCCTCAATTTTAGGTCAGATACTTGCTCTTGGTTGGAATCACATTTAGCAAAATTCAAAGTCAGTGTCTTGAGACATTCTCATAAATTCTCTCCCAAGTCTCTTCAACAGATAGTGTCATTGCTCACCTGAGCCCTCAAAGCTCCACCTCCTCTTCATGAGACCCTTGTCTACTTAAGTGCCCACCCAGATTTCACATCTATAAGTCAACCACATGGTCCCCAAAGGATCTTGTGTGGGTGAAAATGGGCATTTCGGTGTTTCCAAAAGTAACTTAATTGAATTATCACATAGCCTCTAGAAATGTGCTATACTAGTTTACAGACAAAGAAATAGAGACACATAAAAACCCTACCCCAATTTATGAAATAAGCAGCAGATCCACAATCAAAGGGGGCTCTCTTCCCTTCCATTGTGATCCTATCAAAGCTGTCATTCCAGCATCATACACTGTATGTCCTCTAGTTACATCTTCATTTGCTCTTTAAGCTCCTTTAGTCAGGCTAAATCAGCTTAGGGCCACACACAGTGTTTGTACCTCATAGCTATCCATAAATATTTGTTGGATTAACAGAGTGCTACCTATTGTCACCAAATTAAAGTCTCATGATCATAATTCTGGAAGCATCCATAGTGGCAACTGACCTGTTTTCAATCTTGTCTTTGTGACTCCCTATCCCTGAATGTTTAATAAAATGAAACATGTTGCCCAGCTGTTATTGAAACTATTAAAAACAACAACAACAACAAAACCAACAAACAACAAACATAGATGGTCAAAAGTCTATATTGTTAAGCTTTAACCAGAAAGGAAGATGACAGATGACCTTAACAGACTAACTTAACACTACTCAGCCATCTAAGCCTCATGCTTTACACCGCCAGGTGGTGATGTGTTTGCTTTGGCGGATGATGGGGCATCTGTGTTATTCGAGGCAGCAGGGGGAGGAAACCCTGACTGTATTTCCCTCCTGCTGGAATATGGAGGAAGCGGCAACGTGCCTAACAGAGCGGGACATCTTCCAATACACCGAGCTGCCTATGAGGGACATTATCTGTGAGTAAGATATTGAGGTGATCACTCTAAGTTGTGTGTATACAGTACAATCTCACAATATATGATACTCCCCAAGTCTCAAAGAGAAATATTCACACATTTTGTATTCCAATGCTTAGAAATGATTTGGCAGCTTTTCCTCTTTCATGTTATAGTCTTGATTTCCACAGAATGAATTTATACAATTCTTTTAATAAAAAGAATTCCTTGTAGAGAGAGAAATCTTCACCAACTGGCAAGAATGTCTGTGTTAAAAGAATGCTTCAACAAATGGCTATAAAGTTTCTAAATATTTCACCATTGACTGAGCATTAGACTTTGTAACAATACTGTGTTTTATTCTAGTTATTTCTTAGCGTTGTCATATGTACATAATACCATAATGGCAAATATACTATTGGATAGAAAAGATTCATTATAAATTTAATTTCTTTTCCCCACATAAACAGTTGAGTGGACTTTTCAACCATAAAATATGTCATAACCAGCATAGTAATAGAAGTCTGGAATCACAATATTAAACTATCCACCAAGAGATGATGGTTTTAAAAAATTAACAATATCTTATAAGTTCAAAAACTTTGAAGTAGCTAGGCTTTATTATATCTGGTGGCCACACTGGCAAAGTTAAGGGGCCAATGACACATAATTGATGCGAAGTGACATGTTGTTAAAGTTTACCTGGATTTACTCCCAGTGTTCATAAATTCACACATGATAGCTCTGAATTAGGCACAGGAGATCAAGTTATCCTTGCTTGTGGCTCTCACAAATGTCTCGATGGTTAGTGAAGTGTGAAATTCACAAGCATTCATCACATGTATTTAGAAACATGAGCTATGGCCAGTTATTTCATCTGGATGGATGCAAGTTTGATCAAATGCTAAAGATTCTTCTTTTCACTGAGACTTGTGAGCTGCATAGGAGACAAGAAATACATGGGCAATATTAATAGATGGCTTAGGAATCGATGAAAAAGAAAGAATAAGAATCAAATGATTAAAATGCTATCCCTTCCTTTCAAATGGAATGTATGACCTTGGACGAGTCATGCTCCCTCTTAAGCCTTCATTTTGTTCATCTTGAAATGAAAGGGTTGTGTTTATGCTGTCCAAGATCATTTGCCAAGACTGCATTGTTTCTATTGGTCAGGAATATGCAGTGTGTTTCTGTGCCATCGGAGGAGCTTACTCTTTTTGGCATTTTTGCAATCACACCTATTGATTATACAAACTTTAATGTTCAGAGACATAATTGTAAAGTGGAGAGCGTCCTGAGGACTCAAACCTAGAACCAAACCTGAATGTTCCTTGGGAGTTTTTAGGATAGTGAACTAAATTAAAACGCAACTAAATTACATTAAACAGGAGTATCTTGATTTGCAAAGGCTAAAACAAGTCCGTACAGATTTATATAGAGGAAATATGGAAAACTAAACTAACTGAATTCACTTATCTAATGAGAAAGTTTTATTTAATAATTTGATTTTCTCTATGCAATGGGTTTATTTAAAGAGTTGCTTCTTTGCTCTAGTGCTCTGAAATATCTCATCCCAGTAACATCCAAACATGCAATCCGGAAAAGTGGCCTAACTCCAGTTCACTCAGCAGCAGATGGACAAAATACTCAGTGCCTGGAACTGCTCATTGATAACGGGTTTGATGTCAATGCCCTGCTTGCTGACCACATTTCCCAGAGCTATGACGACCAGAGAAAGACTGCACTTTATTTTGCTGTCTCTAACAATGACATCCACTGCACAGAAGTCCTTCTGGCTGCAGGTGCAGACCCCAACCTAGATCCCCTCAACTGTCTACTTGTGGCGGTGAGGGCCAATAGCCATGAAATTGTCCGGCTGCTTCTCTCCTATGGAGCCAACGTCAACTGTTATTTTATGCATGTGAATGATACTCGTTTTCCCAGTGCCATCCAGTACGCCCTAAATGATGAGGTTATGCTTAGGCTCCTGCTGAATAATGGCTACCAAGTGGAACTGTGCTTTGACTGCATGCATGGAGACATCTTTGGAAACTCATTTGTATGGTCAGAGATAGAGGAGGAGGTACTGCCAGGATGGACATCTTGTATAATAAAAGATAACCCGGTGAGTTGCATCTTTTCCTTCATTTGGGGTTGGTATCCTAACTCATATTTGTCTCAAGAATCTTCAAGTTTTGGTCTTTTAACCCTTTTGATTTGCTTATTGACTCCCCCAAAGTTGATCAAGAGTATGTTGCTTAATTTTTATTTATTTTTAAACTTCCACATTTCTTCCTGTTCCTGATTCCTAGATATATACCACTGTGGTATTAAATATCATTGATGACTTTGGTATTAGAGGAATTAAGCCTTGTTAGATAGCCCAATATATAACCAATTCTGGAAGGCGTTCCATGTTCTAAGTAAATATATATGAACTACAGTTTAAATCATAAAATTTTAGTCACTTAAGGATGTTACAAGCAAAGAAAAATCTATTTTAATTTAAATGGTTCTTCTTATTATAGACAAATAAGCAAAATTGGGCCAAGAAAAAAGGCTGTCTCTTTTCTTGGATTGGAAATAGTGTGTCAAACAGTTTGAAAGTATATGCAGTTATTCACTTGTGTCTAATTGGTGGGATACTGGGGCTAGAGGGGAAAAGCTTGGATCTTCCATGTCATGTTCACTTTGATCCAAAGAGAATCATGAATATGCATTTAGTTCTTTAGTTCAAAGAAATAATCATGGTATCACCTTTTCATTTTTGGTCATCATAAGCAGGAATATTTTCTTTGCTGTAAAAAGATGAAGAATAACTTTTCATAGCAATACTGCTTATGTGTATGGCATACTAAAAGTATCACTAAATTAACTGTTATCAATTTTCTCAGTTCTGTGAGTTTATTACAGTCCCATGGATGAAGCACCTGGTGGGCAGCATTGTCCGGATACTCATAGATTACATGGACTATGTCCCTCTGTGTGCTAAACTGAAGTCTGTGCTAGAAGTACAGAGAGAATGGCCAGAAATCCGGCAAATAATAGGTAAAAGCAAATGTTTCTTTTACTTTAAATTTGTATCTATTTGTTCATTGTGTGTATGTGTGGTTGTGAATGTGATTCTAAGTGTTTTTTTCTAGCCTTAGGAAAGCTTACAATTTGCAATGACCTTAGTAGTTCTGAGTATCCCTCTCACACAGAATTTTGTGTAGAAATGCCAATGCCCGCAAAAGAAATAATAAATGATGATGGTTCCCGGTCTGAGGAAGGAAATGCATCAGAATGAACCTGGAGCATCTGCTGACCCCAAGCAGCCAAGAAACTCAGCGACTACCAGAATGGGCTCAGAAGAGTCCATGCACCAACTTGAAGAAACTCTCAGTGGCCAAAGAGGACCATTAAAGTTTCAAAAACACAGTAGTTTCAATGTGTAACATAAATATGTCCAAAATGTCTAAATATTTGAAAATGTAAAATTCAAAAATGATCATTTCAAAGGAGTTATAGAAAATCAATTACCTTGACATTTTTTTTAAAAAACACTTAAACACTTAAGCCATTTTTGTTTTTGGCCTGATTTATAGTATACATGCCTCAGGCAACCAAAATGAGCAAAAGCTCTTCATGAAAATGTCTCAAATAATAAATGAAAATTTAATAGCTATCATTTTATACCCTGAATAAATAAACGGATGTGTTTGTTACACCTTGGCTATTGTCGGTATCATATTATAGAGGTCCCAGACAAGAGACAATCATTTGATAAAGAGATCAAATATAAGAATGGTCAATCTGTGGATCCAGCTACCACTTTTCAAAAACTGGAGGAGACAATGGGACATGGAGCTACATCATGGCAATACATACCAGCTGTGGGAAAACATAGGCATTTGGTTCTTCAATGATTAAGTGACATGATAAAAAGTGGATAGAAAAAGAGCTTGAAGATAAAAAGATATTTAAAGGATACTGAATAATTTTTGAATCCTCCAGCTATAGGAAAGCCCTGGAGGAATGACATCTGATGCTAAAACTTCTGACCTACATATGCACACACACATTCATGTGCACGTCAACACTCACATAAGCATACGCACACAAGCACAACAGAAAGAAGTAGTAGTGGTTATTCACTTCAGCGATAAAAGTGATTCCATTTTTTGTGTTATTTGATTATAAAATTTCAAATTACATTCTTTTAATATGAAAACAAATTTATCCTTGGTGGCATATGCCTGTAATCCCAGTATTTGAAGGCCAAGGCAGGAATGTCAAGGTTTTTAATCCATCCTATAATTAGTGTGGGGACAGATCACTTAGATGACAAAACTTCAAAAAGGGGTGATTGTTGTACAAATGAGAATTGTGGTGGCTTGGAGGAGAAGGAAGGAAGCAGGTTGGCAAGGCTGTGCAAGCATCCTCTAGGGCTGACAAAGTTCTATTTCATGACCTCAGATGTAGTCAAAGATGCTCACCTACTTGATACTTATAATTTATGAAACTATGCATTTCTGTAGGTAGTCTCATATTTAAAAACTTCAAATCCAAAAGGTTTAAATAGTTTGGCTATTTAAAAACAAAACACCACTAAAGCATAAATTAATTTCCCAAAGTTTTTGGCCTGGGGAACAACAAAGGAGCACAGATTTTACTAGGAAATGAGAATTAATGGTCCATGTGTTTTTACTGCAAATGAATTCTAAATTGTGATGATTTTAGAAAGATATTCCAGGTAAGAGTGAAGCCCAGATGCTTTTCTGTTATTTCAATAGTTTATTTCTGCAAGCAGCTAGTCGGCTGGTTGCTGTGAGCCTGGTAAACCACTGGATGTCAGAGTTCCTTCAGCTATAGAAAGGTGGTTGGTTTGTTAAGGAACAAAATAAAATTGCTATTTTATTAAAATGTGGGAGGATGCCTATTTTGATGATAATATTTTTTGCCTCAAGTTTTTAGAAAATGTCCTAATCTATTTTTGAGATGGGTTTTGCTATGCATCTATCTGTCTGTCTGTCTGTCTGTCTGTCTATCTATCTATCTATCTATCTATCTGTCTATCTGTCTCCCAGGCTGGCCTCAAACCTGTGACCTTCCTGCCTTGGCCATCAAATGCTGAGATTATAGGCACATGCCACTAAGGCTAACTTTGTTTTAATATTAAAAGAATGTAATTTAAAATTTAACAGTCAAATCTAACAAAAATGGGATCACTTTCATCACTGAAGTGAATGACCCCTAACGTTTCTTTTTGTTGTGTTTGTGTGTGTACCCACACGAAGGGCACATGTATGTGCATATGTAGGCCAGACATCTCAGCATCAGATGTCATTCCCCCAAGCCTTTCTGACTAGGTAGGCTGGCTGGCCAGTGAGCTTCAAGGATCTACCTGTTACTGCCTCCCTAGCATTGTGATTACAAGCATGTACCACCATGTCTGAAGGTTTCCATTGCTTCCAGGGATAACACTCAAGTCTCTATGCTCGCACAGCAAATATATTACCAACCGAGCTTTCTCCCCTCTCCCATAACGTTTATCGAATGTTATGGTGCAGTGTATCAAGGATTTTTCTAGTTGTTTATATGAACTATTTAGCCTCGGGCAATCCTGTGAAGGAGGGACTATTGTTGTCCACCTTACATAAGTGAGAATAATAGTGATATTGGTTAAGCCTCTTGTGCAAGGTCACACAAAATAACATAGGTGGGATCTTAATCTCAGCTGACTGGGTCCAGGGCCAACATTTACATGTGTACTTGTAAAGCTGCCTCTTCAGTGGTTCTTTTTGTCAGTACAAAACATCAGTGTTTAATTCTAATATAAAGTAGGATTTTTAAGAAATATATTTACATATCTGCAGATACATAACTGTTAGTGTCTGGTATGTAGCAGACACCGGGAACAAGCCTCTGATTGATTTGTGAATGATTTATGAAGCCATCTAGTGATGTTTTACTGATCATTATTCATCAGAAAGACTTAATAGAAACTAGAGGAAGTAAAGAAATATGTCTGTATAATATTTAGTTATTTTTTAAAAAAAGGAGAAATATGTGACCATTTGCTTTTTAAAATCAAATCTGTTTGTTAACAAACTGTAGTTGGACACCCATCGGGCGCCAGGCTTGGCTCCTGGCACAGATGCAGATGCAACTCCAGTCCTCATGGAGCTCAAATCATGAGAAAAGGGCTAGAGTACTTAATTGAAATGCAAATTGAGGTCAAAACCATCAGCTGCTGCTATGTGTGTCTTCCAAACAACATTCCTCATGCTACTCTGAAACAATCTGTATCTTCAATGAACTTCTGAATTTCCTGCTTGTTTTCCCATTTCTTTTAGAGAATCCCTGCTCACTAAGGCATCTGTGCCGGTTAAAAATCCGCAGACTTATGGGACTCCAGCGACTCTGCCAGCCAGCCTCCATGGAGAAACTCCCTCTCCCAGCAGCGATTCGAAGATACTTACTATTTAAAGAATATGATCTCTATGAACAACAGCTAAAGCTAAAATGATATTTTAAAATGTGATTCTTAAAAGTATTTTAAAATGTGACTCCCCTAGAGAAGTCATTGAAATCTTTTATATTCTTAAGTGTGTCTAAATCCACTGAGAATTTTGTAGTTGTGTCCGGTCCCTATGGGAAGAACAAGGATACTCCTAAAGAATTTTAGGTTCCTAAGATAAGCAATATCCTGCATTTGAATTTCTATTGATTGTCTTCAGTTGTTACAAGTCTTCAAATTCTCCCTCTCAACTGGATGTCAGTGATTGAGGGTCTAGGCTAACCGGCAAATAACCACTTTCTCAAACCCCTGCATGTATGTGCCAGCTGCTGCCCGGTTCTATTGTCAGAATCGCTGTTCCAGAAAAGCACCCATGGACTTGCAGATTCCCTCTGTAATCTGGCTTCCCCTGAGCCCTCTACTACTCAGCTCATGGTCCCTAACAACTTCCTTGATGCTAAATTTGAAAAACAACTTTCACTCTCACTCCCTCTTCCTGTTGATTCTTGCAGCATCTAACTCCATTTCCTGTACCTTCCTTGGTTTTCGTCATATGGATGTCTCGCTGTTCACCCTCTCAGCCCTCCTGCCCAGCCTGGGTCTCTGCTTCTTTGTGCTGTTCCTCTTTCTGCAGTCCTCTAGTCATGTCCTCTGTCCTTTTGGGTCATGCTGTGTTCTCTGGGAAACGCCATTCACCTACATGTTGTGATCACATTGCTGGGGGCTATAGCATTTACAGGTGAAGCTCAACCTTTAGTCTCCTGTGCTTCAGACCTACCAGACATCTAAACACAAAGATATCTTCAATTCAAGGCGTCCTCAAATCCTTCCTTCATGAAACGCTTTTCTCTTCACATTCGGCAGTTCAATAATTAGCACAATCAATTCGGTTTCCAAATGAAAAAGATTTTGTGTCCGTCTTTACCATCACCACCCGACTCTCACCCAGCATGCCAGCTCACCAAATGCCAGAAGTTTCTCTCTCGTAAAGCCGCCATTTCCTAGTCAGTCCCATAAATACCACTCTACATCTGACTGCAATCTTCCTTTTCCTGAGACAACACAGCGCTGCTTATCTGGCTGGCCTGCCTTTATCCCTCACAGAGTCTACTGCACGCCGCATTCCAGAATGATCTTTCAGAGACTTAAACATAGCTCATTCCCTTAAAGAAGATCCCTCCCACTATTGTGTGATATACATCCTGAGTTCTAACATGGCCTCCATGCTTTAACTATCTCTTTCCTCTTTAGCCTGGCTGCACTCCCCCACCCCACCCCCTTAGCAGTATCATTGTTATTTGTCTTCTATATTGATTGCCAGGTCTTATAAGACCAGAGGTTTGTTTTATTAATAAAAATAAGGTCCTTTTTTTTTTAAGTATGACATCTATTATCACCATTTCGTTTTTAAAGGGGGTTATTTCTTAGAATGCCAGAAAACAAGATGATGGTCAGCTCAGCTGTTAAAATGGATTGACATTAGCTTTGACAAGACTGACGGTACTGTTCTCATCTCCTCACTGACATGCGAAACTTCACTCTGGTCCACAAGTCAGTGGTTCCCGTCCAATTTAGGACCTTTAAGTCTCCATCACCCTCTAGTTGAAGCTTTCTTTTTTCTTCTCCCTTTTGCCCCTCTCCCACTGATTAACTGACCCCAACACTGCAGATCTTGGCTCAGCTTTTGCTTCCTCTGGAATGGAGGCCCCTGCCTAGAGCTGCTCACATGGTACTGTGGTAGTTTTTGTCACACTAGACTGGAAGCTCCATGAGGGCAGGATCATGTCTGCTTTATTTCCCAGTGTGTGCTCAGAGCCAAGCTCATTCCTTAGAATATGAATGTTACACAAGAACGAGACAAAAAACAATCAGTGACTTCATGGTGAAATGATAGGTTTGAATTTCTGACTTGGTATGTGAACTAAGTCTTATAATTACTTAAATTAATTAGTCTTACATTTTAATAGAGTATTTTTAACATTTATTTTATCATAAGAGTGAATATTCTCTTGGTAGTAACATCCCAGTAGTTTGTAAATTTTCTGAATTGCACTTGCCTTCAGTCATCTTTGAAAAAATAAGTTTGGAAAGAAACCTGTATAGTTAGGGTTTATGGTTCTAATGTATTTTATTTTCTTGAGTATTTAAATATAAATTATAACAATGTATTTACTTTGAACTGTGATGTTTCATGTACAAGATTTCATAATTCTTGTGTTTCTTTCTTCATTGTGCTTAAAATTTATTCTTATAAATACTGCTCTAAATAAATGAAAAATAGAGCTGAAACTGTTAAGTCTGCTGTTTGATATTTTGAATATTAAACATGTTTGGGGTAAATAAGCACACGAACTACTTGGATATAAAGATATGAACAGGATGCACATGGTAAAGGTTTTAAAGGTTATTGTCTTGACTTTTTAAAGGGACAAATTTTTCTTAGGAGCTAGAAATGATACTGTCTCAGAAACTCATTACAATTTGGGCCTTTCCAACAATGTTTTTGTTTTTGAGAGAGCTAGATGGGAAGAGGAATAAATTCCTCTCTAACTGTGTATACTCTCCTGTGTCACTTTATATGGACGAGCGCAACAGCTGCTCCCCCACAGTCAGGCCAAGAAGCCAAGTATTCTACAGTGGTGCCAATGTCCCCACTGTTCACTGACAAGATGGGGTTTGGATGCCAGTTTCCCATGCTGCCAAGCTGCTTGTGGCTGTTTTAGTCACTGGAGCTCTTGTTTAGTCTCATTCAGAGAACCTGGGTGGGAAAGAGTGGACATGATCTCTCAGCCAGAATGAGTTGTGGGTTAATTTTTCTATAGGCTGCAGTCAAATCAAACTTGCATTTCTAGTTAAACATGTTCAACAGTCACATTGAAACCTTGTTCTTCTTGGCTATGGCTTAATCATTTAATCTGATTACATGACATATTTCCAGACAAAAGAAAGACAATGCAAAAGATGAGGAAACAGTTGTTTAAATATGCAACACTCCATTCAATGCAGGCTTTTAAAAAATCAATATATGCATCAGACAGCATGAAAAATACAAGAGAGTCATGACAGAGAAAATAATCAATCTTTTTAATAGTACCTTTTGCTAGATATTCCTATACAAATTTGGGTTTTAAGTCCCATTATTCTTCAGTATGCACCTATTTCCCTAATCATAATTATTTAGGATATATTAAAATTACATCTGCTTCAAGTTAATTCATTTAAAAATTAACATTACATGTGTATATACATATGCACTACAGTACCCGTGTGTGATACATGTGCACTTAATGTAACACTTATGTACAAATATACATTCTAAATATCATACTGCTGCAATGCCATATTGCCTTAGTTAATGTTTAACTGCTGTGATAAAACACTATGACCAAAAGCAACTTCAGGAGGAAATGGTTTATTTTCTTGTAACCTGTAGCCCATCATCCAGGGAAGTGAGGCAGGAACTGATGCAGAAGCCATGGAAGAGTGCCCTTTACTGGCTTGCTCTCCATGGATTGCTCAGCCTGCATTCTATGTCATAGAGGACCACTTACAGGGTGGGGGGCGGGGAGAGCACCACCCAAAATTGGTCTATAATCCAGATCAATCTATAATCAAGAAAATGACTAACAGACTTGCCTATAGGCTAATTTTATCGAGACATTTTCTCAATTGAGAGTTCCTTTTCCAAAATGACTCTAGTTTATGCCAAGTTTACCAAAACTAACCAGTACATGTATATAATACAAGAATATGCATTTTATATTAAGCAGCCACTACCTTAAGTGCAATAAGCCAGGCACAGAAAGACAGAAGTCACATGACCTCACTTACATGAAGAACCTGAAAAGGTAAAACAGAAGCAGAAAGTGGCAGTTACCAGAAATTGTTAGGTAAGAGAGGGCATTGGGGATATTTCAATCAAATGATACCAAATATCCATTAGACATGAATATTTTTAAATGCTTGTTATAGTACATGCTGGCTCTCATGAATAACAATGCAGCATAAATTGCTTTTCTCCTTTCTATAATGGAATATTTGAAAGTAGGCAACATATGGAATAAAAGGTTTATTTTGGCTCATGGTTTGAGAGGGTCCAGTGCATTGTGATAGAGGAGGCATAGCCTTCTAAGCATGAGACTGTTTTCTCACAACTGGATGAAGAGTTGATTGGTACCCATCTAGCAATCTTTTGGCTTGTTCACTGAGTCTAGATCTCTATCTCATGGGCTAATACCACAAGCTTTAGGGTGGATCTTCCCTCCTATATTAATCCTCTCTAGAAATGCCCTCACAGACATGCCCGGGGTGTGTCTTCTAAATGATTCTAAATCCAGAGAAGTTGACAGTGACGATTAGCCATTACAATGTAAAAACTACCAAGAGTTCTGCTTCTTGGTCTGCCAAGACATGAGAGGAGTTGTCCTGCCTGCACACTCATCCTCCATGAAGTCATCCACTGCCACACCTCCTCCACTCCCATGGGATGTAGAAGAGTCGCAGCCACAGGCTCATCTTCCATGAAGCAAACTGCCACTATGCCTCCTCCACTCTGATGGGGTGTGTCTCTTCAAGTGTGAGCCAAATAAGCTGCATCCCTCATGTTTCTTCTTCTTTGGTATTTGGTCACATCAATTAGAAAACAACCAACACAAAAAATTGGTACCAAGTAGTCGAGTCATTGCTTTGCTAAAGCTGGTGAGGGGGCTCATAGGCTTTCTGAACTGGATTGCAGAAGAAGTGAGAAAGTTGGAAAATGCAAGCTAAACATGTCAAAGAATACTCAAAAGTGTTGATTCTAATGACATCTTGAAAGCTGAAACGCCAATAAAAGATAAACAACGCAAACTTACTCGTGAGCTTTTACAGGAAAATGAAGGACTAAGTCTGGACTTGGGATAGAGAGCATTGATGTTCTATCACAGCAAAGCATCTGACTGCATTCTGCCCATGTCTTAAAAATTTGAGTGACGCTAAATTAAAAAGTAATCGACTAAGTATTTTGGCAGGAGACATTTTAAGACAGCATACTATCCAGGCTGTGGCATAATTTGCACTCACTTTTTTTTGGTCAGATTATGGTGAGCAAATAGAGTGCAAAGATAAAAATGTGATGTTTGACCAGGAAAGATATGTGGGCCTAAGTTAAGGGCAGTTCAGTAGATGCAAATGTTACAGATTGTAACCACTATGGCTATGATCTAAGAGGCCCACGTATGTCTTGAGCTGGAACCGAAACTTGATGTAGGGCTGTATTTACAAACATGCAAGCTGCAAGAGTGGGGGAGCATGTAAGCTTATTTCAAACTTCTGAGACCAGACAATATGTAGCAAGTTTGGATTCTCTACAAGAACTCTTGCGTAGGCTGGTGTGAAGCTGTAGATATGTAACCTAAGCTACTATGGAGTCCCTAGGATACTGGAGATGCCAAAAATTTGGATATCTGCTGAGGAACGCTGAAAGTGCCAAGTAGAGCTTGCCTGAGGGAGGCCATGTAGCATGCAAGCAAACTAGTTGTAGGGGAAGGACTGCCTAAGCCCATTAGTGCCTAGATGATACCATATGACCTAGACCACGAGCTGCAACGCCTAGTACTTGCCTTTCTGGATTATTCTCTTTCTTTGGTGTGATCTTTTCTTGTTACATCTCTTTCCTCTCTTTCGGAATGAGAATGTTTACTCTGTGCCATTGCTTGATGGATGTATGTGACATGTTTTTTGCTTTCTTTTTTTTAATTTTAACATGGGTTCATAGTTAAGAGAACACCCTGAGTCTTAGAAGAGGCCTTGGACTTTCAAACAGTATTAGAACTATAAGACAAAACTGGACTAAATACATTTTGTATAATGAGATGGCCATAGCCAATGAGGGGGCAGGGCAAGAATGCTATGATTTGAATGTAAGATGTACCACATAAGCTCATGTCCTTGAACACTCGTATATTTGAGCATGCATTTGAACAGCAGGTGTTACTGTTTTGAAGGTGGAAGAACTTTTAGGAGATGAGGCTGAGCTGGAGGAAATATGGGATAACCTTGAGACTTTATAATCAGGTCCATTTTCCCAACTGGTTGTCGACCCAATGTAACTAGTTCCTATGTACTCCTGCTGCTATGCTGCTATTCATCAAACCTGCCCCAACATGGTTGACTATACTCTCTCAAACCATAAATCAGAACAAATTACCCCCCAATCCCTCCCCCAAAAAGAGAATGAAAGGCTTTAGGTATCCTCATTATAGAGAAAGTTAAGTATGTGAGACACTACACATGCTAATTGGCTCAATTTAGCCATTCTACAATACATACATATCTTAAATCAGCATGTTCTAGATCATATATATATATATATATATATATATATATATATACATAATTTTGTCAATTAACAAGCTTAAAAATATGTAGTGCTTTAACACTTAGATGAAGCATGCAAATAAATCTGATCATTAAAACAGACACTGAACCAGATTGAATCATGCTTTGTTATTATTAGCTTCTTGATTTTGAACAAAGTATAAGCATGTTATCATTATAAATACATAAAATAGGTACATGAGAAACCTGCTTTCCATTGCTATTGTTACAGAATAACAGAATTAGCACCAAAACACCAGAAGTGAAAATGTTCATCTTAAGGAACAGGACTTACAGACTGTCATGATGACATCGAAGAATATTGAAACCTATGTTAGAGCCATATGTGGTATCTCACTGTCATCTCTAAATATTTTGACCAGATTCACAGGATGAAAGTTTAGCACAGAACTTTTGAACCCAGCACATAAAAACCTCACATCTTCTTTGGTTTCATGAAGCCCTCGTCATCTAATATTGCCAAGGAAAGAAAGGGGCTTCCTCCTTGTGTAGGAAGAGGAAGAGCAGACAGACTCATTTGACCTCAACAGCCCATGTTATATAACCTTAGGGATTGCTGAGGATGTCTGGGGATTTGCTGTTTTCATCAGGAGACAGTCTAGTAATTTGAATCGGGGCACTGGGAGTGCCTGAGTTCTAACATTGGACTGACTCCATCACACGGCCTGAACAGGAACACACATTCTGCACTTCCGATTCCAGGAACAAGACGGCCATTGCTTTTACCTTGTAAGCTGTCCCACTGGGATTTCCCCAGGAGATTCAAGCTGATGTGTTCCAGAAGTCACCTATATAATATTAAGTTCAAAAGTGTGAGGGACATTAATTGGGGCACTTAATTTAGAGTTGAGT